CAGTCCGATGGTCTAATTGTACAAACACGCTTAACTTTTGAACCAAATAGTCAAGAAAGTCAAGTTTATTTCACTAATTATAGCACCACACCATTATTTGTCTTGTAACTGAACATATGCATAGCATGGTCAGTGGGCAGCTAAAAAAACGGCAAAAACCCCAATTCAAGTCAGGAAAACTGCCCCTTTCCATTACTCCTCAATAATACTGGTAAGTTGTTCTTTAAGTTACTTTGTGTTTTATTTGGTTCTAAGTAATTTAAAGGATCACTACATAGTTTGAGGAACAGGCCATAAAGCAAAATAACGTTTCTGTGAACACTAGACAACATCACCAAGACCAGCAGCCTGGAGTGCAGAAAGCATTCCTGAGGGATTTTAAGGAACTTCTGACAGTACTGAAAGAGATGGGGAATCCATTTCTAGAACAAAGTCAAGACCTGCTTGTCATTGGCACAAGCGACATATCATGAACACCCAAGCGACTGAAACGGGGAGAAGGATTGAGACCCTAGGTGAGGAGCAGAGTACACAAAGTTTGTGACAGAAAGGCTAGAGCAGTGTATGACACCTGTCACACAAACACTTCATACGAACAAGTTGCCACTTTTTAGTCGGCAGCCGGCCAAAGTTATCATTTCGACGTGCATCTCGTGTCAGACACGGGATGGAGATATGGACAATTTCTTCTCCCATAAAAACCAGGCAGCCCTGCCAGCTTTGTTAACTGGAGGAAAATGCGGTTAGGAGTTAAAGCAGATCTACTTCCCTGCCTGGTATCAAATCTGCTCGAAAACAATAGTGCTCCTGTGGCCCAAGCAATAATTATTGATGGTGAAGCTGTGGTTCAAATGCTCAATCCTGGAACATCAAGAACATTTCAAGAGTATGGAGAAAGAGTGTTTGCCACATACATCTTTGCTCAGCTCGGGAAAAGCATCCGCATCGACCTCGGCTAGTGTGTATACTTACCTGCTAGCCTGAAAGCCTCAATAAGGCCGGAAAGGGGAAAGGGCACCAGGAAATGGGTGGCTCCTTCTACTGTGCTGCCAAAAAGCTGGAAGGACTTCCTTCGAGTCAATGAGAACAAAACATAATTGTTTGCTTTTCTGTCACGCAAAGAAGTTCATCATCCTCTACCACAGGGCAAGAAACCGTATGCAACAGGTGGAAGTGGAGTACTCTGCTCTCCTGCTGAGTCACACTTGGCAGGCCTGGCTGCATGCTCACACCGGGATAGGCTGACACTCGTCTACTTCTGCATGTGGCAGATGCTGTGCAAAAAGGGTGTAAAAGGGTAACCATACCTACTGTTGGTACTGATGCGGTTGTACTGGCCAAGCTTCATTCAGCAAGACAGCTCCTAATGCTGTGGATCGCTTTTGGTGTCAGATCAAGCTTTCGGTACATAGCTTTGAACAAAATAGTTGCTACCATGAGTCCGACACAACGTATGACTCTCTCATTCTTTCATGCGTTCACCAGGTGTGACACTGTTTCTGCATTCAGAGGAAAGAAAACCGCCTGGGAAACTTAGAAGTCTTTCCCAGAGGTGAATGATTCCTTCAGTGAACTCCTTGCCAAGTGAGCCTCAGTGAAGGATCAATGTTACTGCCAGAGCGATTTGAGGTGCTTATACGACCGAATCAGTGAGAGCATGATAGTGAATGATGCCAGGAAACAGCTCTTCGCACAGAAGTCTAGAAACCTGGAGAACTTTCCTCCAACCCGGCAGCAATCAAGCAGCACATCAAGCGCACTTGCTACCAGGCCAACTGTTAATGGAACCAGATTTTGGCCAAGAATCCCGAGATGCCAGAGCCATCTGACTTGGGCTGGAAAAACGAAACAAGTAGGTGGCTGCCTCTTTGGACCCCTCTCCCATACACTGAACTGTGCTCTTGTTCTGGGGACTGTTAGATTTGGTCTGGACACATGATAGCATTTTTCTATGCACATCACATTTTCACTTGGCAGCCCAAGGGGGAGGGGGGGAGGGGGTGGGGTAAACCCCCTAAACCGCCTAGATCCGCCCCTGCAATATCTTTGGTGATCTTCTTCTCAATATTGATTTACTGGTCGAGTTACATTATTTGCTGATCTTTTAGAATAACCAGATTTAGAGGATTCACACTTTTCACAACAAAAAACTTCTCCATGTTTCAGTCCTTGCGCGTGATCGTCTCCAGCTCCAGCAGATATGGGCATCAGCGTGCACACCGGTACTACCGGTGAGTATAGCCACTGCTGACGACCGCAATAGCTGCACTGCGAGCTTCTGTTGTTTGTATCGGTAATACTCATAGAGATGGGAGAGAAAGCGCCATCTAAGTTCCATTTGATTGGTTTAAGGTTTGAAAATTGATACTCAATATTGTGTTAATGTTATTTCAGAAAAGATAATCTTTATTTTATAATTCCACGGGGGCGATTTTGAATTTTGCAATCGCTCCCGTGAGCAACCTGACGGGGGCGATTATGGAGCTCACGGGGGCGAATCGCCCATCTCCCCCATCTCCCCTGTGTATTTTGAGTGCTGTGTGGTAATGAACAGATTTTAGGTCGTACTTGGAATAGCTTTTTTGGTCTTCTGGGCCCAACTTCAGAAAGCTGCTTACCGGTAAGCAAATTTTCATGCTATAACTGTAGCAGTAAAAATTGCTTAAGCAGGTTAGCAAGAAAACAAGGCGTCCACCTTGCGCGTTCACAATGGATTTGCATTGTTACAAAATTCATTTTCGCCCAGTAAGCAGCATAAGGTTATAATGCTTTTTTGTGTGCTTACGGTTAGCAGTGCTATAATGTAGAAACTCATACGTAAGCAGAGAACCGGCCGATAAGCAGCGCTTTTTTGTGTGCTTACGGTTAGCAGTACTATAATGTAGAAACTCATACGTAAGCAGAGAACCGGCCGATAAGCAGCGCTTTTTTGTGTGCTTACGGTTAGCAGTACTATAATGTAGAAACTCATACGTAAGCAGAGAACCGGCCGATAAGCAGCGCTATATAATTTGGCCCTGGATATTCAAAGTGGTGGTACATGTTTTTTTAAATATTATTTTTAAAAATAATGACAACAAAAAAACTACAACACTTTTTTGGCCTAATATGACCTTGACCTTGACCTTATTGCAAATCCCTGAGTTCTGGCGATCTCAAAAGTTTTATTTAATGAATTGGCATCCCCAAGTTAGTTGAAAATGACACCTCAAACGTTTTTCTGGACTATTTGGTTCAAAAGTTACAGCGTTTGTACATTATACCATGCGGACTGGCAGCCATTTTGGATTTGACCTCTCAGGGTCATCTGAGGTCAAATCAAATTGTGAAATAAACTAACTGAAAGGGATTAAGGTGGGGGACTATACAGGGGAACCATTCCTTAAGAAATTTGAGAACATAGGGGAGAATAAATGACAAATGAATGGGAATTTTTTTGTAACCATTCAAAACTTGCTATTTTTTTGGTCAATTTTGATCTTGACCTTGACCTAAATGCAACACCCTGAGTTCTGGCAATCTCAAAAGTATTACCAAATGAATTGGCATTCCCAAGTTAGTTGGAAATGACACCTTAAACGTTTTCTGGACTATTTGGTTCAAAAGTTACCGCGTTTGTACATAAGACCTTGCAGACTGACGGCCATTTTGGATTTGACCTCTCAGGGTCATCAGAGGTCAAATCAAATTGTGAAATAAACTAACTGAAAGGGATTAAGGTGGGGGACTATGCCGGGGAACAATTCCTAAAGAGATTTGAGAACATAGGGGAGAATAAATGACAAATAAATGAGATTTAACCTTTTTAAACCATTCAAAACTTGCTATTTTTAGTCAATTTTGATCTTGACCTTGACCTAAATGCAACACCCTGAGTTCTGGCAATCTCAAAAGTATTACCAAATGAATTGGCATCCCCAATTTAGTTGGAAATGACACCTTAAACATTTTTTCTGGACTATTTGGTTCAAAAGTTAAGCGTGTTTGTACATTAGACCATGTGGACTGGCGGCCATTTTGGATTTGACCTCTCAGGGTCATCAGAGGTCAAATCTGACTTCCCTCCACATCTGAAAATAAATCTTATGGTGAAAGCAAACTATGCTAGAAGTTTCATGCTTTTCTCAAAAAGTGCACAATTTTCTTGCTAAGCTGCTGCACTAATTCTCTTTTCCCTCTTTCTTCTTCTATTCCAACGTTTTAGCTATACTACTCATCTTTCTCGAATTTAAAACTATTATGACTTAAATAATTCCCCTTTTTATAGTCTGGATAAACCAGTATAACCTTTTACTTAGAGTAGCTATTGCCTAGAGTATATCTTTCATTTGTGCAATTTGTCATATTAGTTTTTATTTTCTACATAGTTTCACCTCTATCATTTGTAGTTTGTAACAATGTGTAATGGTTGGATATAGATACCTTATGATACTGTTACTATTGAATTTGCACTACCCTTCATCTCTTCTTCCTATCCCTAATTCTTCTTCTCCTTCCTCCTCCTCTTCTCCCTCCTCTTCTACTTTTTCCTCTGCTTCTTCTCTTTCTCTTCTTCTTCCTCTTCATTTTATTCTTAATCTTACGATCCTCTTTTTTTCTTCTTTCTGTACTCTACACCATCATTATGTTCTTCTTCACTTTCTTTTATCTCCTTTGTACATGTATATAGATCTAAAATGGTTTAGGGAGATCAAATAAGAATTTTAAAGTTAAAAATAATCTTATACAATTGACTAATTAACATTCCGTTCATTAATATTTGATGTAATTTGCTATGACTGTTTTTTATATACAGTATTTTACATTTGTAAAACATTGCCCAATTTGGCTGTTCAGGCTACGATGCATTGTTATCAATACAATTCAATCATATCATCATTATTACTCTTTCTTTTTTTCCAATGACCCTTTCCATGACCCTTTCCATGACCCTTTCCATGACCCTTTCCATGACCCTTTCCATGACCCTTTCCATGACACTTACATTAGTATACACATACCTGTATGAATGAGGCCTTTGCTTTCAATGCAGAGTGGAACTCCTCAGTGAGACCCACTCCAAAGAGTGCCAGGTCAGTCAAGTTTGGCATAGAACACAGTGCTTCTGCCAGCTGATGTGATGAGGATGGTGTGGGACACTGGACATAGAACGTGAGAGTCTCGACCTGCATTGTTTGTCGAGATAGTTAAGCAACTCATCTATAAACACAAATATTGTATTTTCTAGTTTTAATTTCGCATTGCATTCTTATATTTATCACAAACTGCATGCATAACACAGCTGTATTGATATTCACATTCTTAGCAAAGATTACTAATTTGAGTTTGAAAGAAATTTGTTAGGACTCGTCAATCCTCCCTCTCTCTCACATGGTGCACCCACAAGCCTACTGTAAATCTACATCACCATGCAAGCCGATACTTACAAGCAGCATCTAAAAAATACATGTATCTGACTTTCAGTGCATACCAAAACATGTTATACCATTCTTAATCCCAAGTCGTATGGACTATGCAAGTGTGAATGTGACCACCACAAAAAGGCACTAGAAAGTCCAATATCAAGACAGGAATGACTCTCCCTCCTGCTTTTTCTATACATTGGATGAAACTTAAAAAAAGATTTTGTATTGATCACAAATATGGGTATAATATTTTTATCTACCCAATGTTTCACTACATGTGCTTTCTATTTTTATTCCATTAATAAAGCTCCATTTCTGGACATGACCATAAGATTAATCCTTTCCTTAATTTAAAAAAAAATGTGCAAAGGTGCCCCCCCCCCCCTGGCTTCTCTGGTCAATGACAAATTGTTTCCCTCCTTTCTCTATTACTCATTTGGAGAACACCCTATAGGGATTCCAATTGAACTCTTTGCATGAGTGCATTTATTTTGTGTTGGTGCTGGCATTGGTGAATGCTATATCAGGCAGGCAAGTCATTCTGAGTTGTGTAAAGTACATGTACATGTATGTACTGGTGGATGAAACTTGTGCAGCTAGACTTTGTTTAAGGGCTGCGGTCAAAGTACCCAAGTTTGATGTGGTCAACTTTTACGAGCGGCAGATTATATTACCCATGTACATGTAGGCCTCATGCTTATAGCACTTTGACTTGTATTGGCAAAGGCTGTGTATAATGAGAGATCAATCAAGTGAGGACATATATCTCAGTTCTGACTCCAAATGCTGCTTATTTTGTCATCAAATGTGTTGAACCCTTTCATTAAGTATGTTGTGATCTTCCTACATGTCTTCTCTTTAATCCCATATGGTTTCAGCTAATCCCCCTGTGCTATGAGCTGTGAAAATACCGGCAGCAAAACACATGACACGCAATGGAAATTTAGCATCCTACACAGGGACATAATCATGACGCCATGAACTTTTTTGCTGCTGCCTCTTGCAACCCACCCCTCGGGAGATTGGCTGGCAGCAGCCATGAAGCCGTGCCTCCAAGAGTTCATATTTTGAGAATTGCATGTATAATTTCGGCAGAAAACAAGATTTTGTGATTTTCTGTAATCGTCGATCTAGGTGCCAGGATTTTATCAGAGCATTCTAGTCGTATAAGCTTACCACATGGTGCTCCCCACCCACACTGTAGGTTTCCAAGGTAAATATTCCCAATTGAAGGCTTTTGTTAACACTGTGTGGTAGCCTTAATGAAAAGAACATTGATATATCCTTCTGTCAAAAATTCAGCATGTACAATATGAGACATTTAAAGGAATTATTAAAAGAAAAGTAAAATGAAGATAAGAAAATAGAAAAGGGAAGAGATGGTAATGGAATGAAATGAAATGAAATGAAATTAAACACTCACACATACATTACAAGCATTGACCGCTTACCTTTGCTTCTTTTCCTTTCCTTGCAAGTGTTTCAAAAAAACAATGATGCAATGCACTGTCAAGATAAACTTCCTTCAAGGATGGAATGGAGCATATTATCTCTGCCACATCAAGTGACATAGTAGGTCCACTATCTACTTCAATACAGAGCGCAACCTTAATAAAATGAAAAAGTGATTACTGATGTGATACAGAATATAGATGTTCACTTAGATGTTAGGCATATCCTATATGTGCTGCCAGAACTAGAGAGAGTAAGAGGGAAAAGGAAATGAATAAGGGTGCAGGCTAAAGAACTATTGCCATGACATTTCATATCAAATTCCTATTTGTGCAACATTAGGAATATCTCATTTTAGTTAACCATGTACTAAACAGAGGAGCCTTAAACAAAATTAAAGGACAGTATGAGTCTAACAACAGGTTTCAAAGAAGATTATTTAAGATCCCACCATCTGGTGCCTCATACCTTTATCATTTATAAATATTAATAGGAACACGATCACAAATTTAAAAGGGTGGATACGGAGCAAAAATCTAGGCTCGCAAAGGAGAAAAGAAGTAAAAAGTTGATACGACCTGCATGAGCGCATGTATTCAGTCAACAGCTATCATGTGCATATTATATTAAGAGTTGTAATATATCAATAACACCAATTTTACACAGGGCCAAGGATATCAAACAGTTACAGATTCCTTTGTGCCCTGTTAAACATTTGTAAACCAAGAATTGACCCTAGGCAAGAGATACTTTTTTCGGAAGGGATGAAAATGTGCAAACTATTGATGAAATTCCCTTTCTCCAAATTTTATCTCATCTAAAAGGTATAGGTGCACTGTGTATATCATATGCACGTGTCAATACATAGCTTGAATGTAATTGCATTGACGACCTCGTCAATGCCATGTAAATTTGCGTGTTCTGAATTCTTTTTCTTATTCCTCTTCGACCCAAATCCCATTCGTTTTGCACAGTGCTTGTTATTCGTAATGAGGTCCCTTTCTCTGTTCAATTCGTTTCAGATTTTGCATGCATATTCTTTACGATCCCATCGTGTGCACTGAATTGACCGTCAAGACTGTTTCGGGTCTGTTTTCTTTTCTTTTGGATGTTGACTTTAAAGGTCGGTCCCCAGACATAAATAATCATATCTGATTGATACACGTCTGTAAAAACATATCACATATCAATTAATAGTCATGCATGATATGAATAGCACCCTCTAAAGTCCTGGAAATTATGGATGTGTTTATGTCATAGCTCCATTGTATGCCTGTCTTGATCAGAACCCTTTTTTGGATTTAGAATTAGTGATACTTCCAAGATATTCCCTTTTCCGCAAAAAAAAATGCACCCTACCACTGACCGACTTTGAGAACAATTGCTCTCGAAAACCATACTTTTTCAGGAAAATTCCTAAATGACTTCAACATGTGCTCAATTTGCGTGTTGTGTACATGGGATCATCTAATTGATATATCTGCTCAAACAAATAGAAATATGGGCATCAATGTATATCATTCTCTGATTGCAGTTCTATTTTCCAAATTGTCACTGTTCAAACCCCCTTCATTATACTGTTGTATAATACTGTAAGAAAATTGCAAAAGACGTAAAGTATGAACTTGTACAAAAATGGATGAACTAATTTTGTTTATCAAACTATGATCAAACTTACCACATGTAGTCCAATGTACGCATAACCAGCTACAGTGTGTGCTGTCGGGTACCGGTACATGAATGTGAATATGTTCAGCTCAATCCCCTCTGATGAATCGACACTGTCCTTCAACAAGGCTGCTGCATCTGGGTCCTGACTCTCAAAGGCTACATCAACAATGAAATCTACATCTGTCAGTTCCCCTGATTCCGCTCTGTCCATGTATAGTTCCAGAAGCAAAGCGTGCATTACATTGGTTGCGATATTTTTGTTCTGTGACACAGTGAAGTACAGGAGATACCTAAACTCCTCCTTCCTCGGCATCACTACTCGCTTAATCAGCCTGTTGAATTCATTACGATCTGATTCATACAGGAAAGCAAGATGGACTCCAGCCATGTACTCCTGAAACAGTTTGTGAGGGAAGAAGACTGGCAATTGCACATGAGAATTCCTCTCATGTGTATCCACGTCAGCGATAATTCTGTCCTCCTGAGACAAAATCCCAACCTGACAGGCAGTGACCTTGGAATCTGGGCACATTTGGAAATCATCTTCACTGTACATCAAGGTATTTTCTAGCAGACCAGAAAGTGCCTGTTTGGCAATCGGTTTAAGGAGCTCATCGATTTGTTTCAAATAGGCAAGAAATGGGTGGCTGCCTACTTTCTTCACCTTTTTCTGAGCATAATGTTCTTTTAGAAAGGCAATCATTTCTTTGAATATATGAGCAAAAGTTTTCAGTGATTTAATTCCCTTTAATTTTTGCTCGTCACATTCTTTCCACATAAGACACAACATGGCTACATATATAGGATAGTGGGCCATGTTCTCAGATAGGACATCATTATCATTGATGAACTGGATAAGCTGATTTGCTTTATCATCATTCTTTGGAAAGTATTTGTGAATGTAAACTGACAAATTCTCTCTGTTGAAACCCTCAACATGAATGAATGTGTAGAGCTTCACTAGATCACCATCTGATCTAACCTCTACTGCTCTCCATGGGCGAGTAGTCACCAAGACTGGGCAAGAGGCAAGTTGATCTGAACAAAGAATATCTCTGAGTTCAATATCACCAGTCTCAGATAAGCTTCCACATGCCTCTGAGGAGGTGGCACTTGGCTGTGATGGCTGAAGTTGCATCTGATCAGTAGGCTGTGATTCACATGATTCTGTCTTCATGATTTTGCCACTGACTTCATCAAGCCCATCAAATGCGATGAATATCTTGTCAGGATTTGAGCGGATATACTCAGTAATCTGAGAAATCGTTGCTGGATTGTTCTTGGCCAGATAAGACTTTGCAATCGTGCCAATAGTGTGTTGCTTGAATTCACGTAGAGGAACAATCAAGACCCACACAAATTCCCTGAAATGCCTCTTTTCAATCCAGTCCCAGGCAATCTTAGCACAAAATGTGGTTTTTCCAGCCCCTGCCTCTCCCTGAACCATGATCCGCTTGGGGAACTCTCCATTGACTTTGAGATCAAGAATATCATCGTAATCTAGCTTTCGCTTCTCTGTCCCATGCTCTTCTTGTAAGAAGAGATTAGTATACATGTCTTTAAACTGCACAGTGGAAGCAGGATTGAGAGGATCCGTTCTGATCTTACAGAGACTTGACCTGTACTTGAACTTGAAATCCCTTGCACACTGCTCAACCATTTCAGGAGAAAGTGGTTTGGTCTGAGATTCAGCTGAAGGAGGTTTGGTCTGAGATTCAAGCAGTCTTGATGGCCCTCCTAAAAATACATAGATAATCCATATGCGCATGATTACACGTAACATATTTTGATGCATCTCAAAGGATTGAAAAGGCCCGAGGCAAATAGCATGACCTACGACTTGGTGCATGTCAAAGAAACAAAGTCCTACATGTTGGTCTGAATTTATATGACTTCAATAAGTGCATTTAAAATCTGAGTAATTTGTGTATACTTGTAGATAATTTTTCCTAGGACATTTCAGCAATGCAGAGTTTCCCTGACAATCACATATCTTATTTTGAAAAACAAGACAAATATGACTGCATCTCCAGCCTATGCCTCTGCCTAAATTCAGTTAAGATAAGGGCTTGAATCAATATTTAAATATTGTAATGAGAACAAAACGCCTATAGATATATAAATACACGTGGATTGATCTTTCTATATGACCTTTAACCTGATAATCCAACACCTGATCACTCGTCTCCCTAATCCTTATATGGTGACGCATACCGTATGTATTTTTTTAATTTTCCAGCTAAAACAGCTTACAGTGGTTATTTATATGGTGATATAATTTCATTTTGCTGACCTTTGACCTTCCGAACCCAAAATTTAATCAGTTTATCTCAATATGGGGATACGTACCAACACCAAATTTGAAATTCATGTCTCAAAAGCATTTTTGAGACATTGCAATAATGCATGGGGCTAAAACCCTAAAAATTAATTTAATTTGACCCTCATGGCCCTAATTGGCTTTTGACCTAGATATCCCAAAATCTAATCACTCAATCCCACTTTGATGATGTACATGCTAACAACAAGTTTATAGTTCATAACTCAAGTGGTTCTTGAGATATCGCAATAGCAAAAATCAGGATAATTACAGTTATCAAAATGGAATGACGCAAAAGAATAGAATTCGTTTGTAGAATGTGTGCACATAAAGTGAGCTGACAATTTTTGTGTATACATTAAATTCTGCTGTCACTCAAAGTACTTGTACTATATAGATGTCCAGAAAGTATCTAGGATTAACAAAGTTAAATTAGGAAATTATAAAAACATACATTGTACATGGGGCCTGATAAAATTTGACACTTCTGTAAATTGTGGCAAATGTAGAGAGCACAGAGCACTCAGAATCTCTATAGTAAATGCTTACAGGTACTTCAGTTTTATGCACGGTTTTCTATGTCTTCCGGTGAAGCAAGAATTAGTATCTGTTTACCTGTGCTGTTCGGAATTGGAGGTCCATTGAGTAATTCATCTGATAGGTCACCCAAGTCAATCTCTCGTAGTTTGTCTGCCAAAAGCTGTCGTTTGTTTGAGTGTGGAGGTTGCTGCATGACATTCCATTTCATGAAGACATCCATTAAGGCATTTTTGAAGTTCTTCAACTTCTCACTTAGGATTGCCTGTAGCTGAGCATAGGGGATCCCTAGAGATATCCCTACATCCTCGTAGTAAGATGGAGGAATGTCCCGGGCCAGCTTCAGGAACTCCATTTCACTGACAGTACTGTAAAATGAAAAATAAATCAATTGTGTATGATAGGATATTAGTTAGAAAGCATCCTATTGGCTGAGAAGTTATCATGTGATACTCAACAATTTGTATTACATTTCGCGCTCGAGCATGCAATTTTACAGCCTGGGATATCAGATTAGTCGAAACTAGTCATGATTTAGCCATGGCCCGCCTACCAGTCAATAGTTTTTTAAAAGATGCCTGCATGCCCACCTACCGGTCAATAGTGTTTTCAAATAAATTTTGCTGAAATCCCCATTGGTAAACGTGTAAAAAGTTTCTGTGTGCGAGCGTGGATACCATTTCAGTAGCTTACTACAGTTATTGGTACTTGTTATCGATGACAAGGCTTATGAAACAGGGACCAGATTTTAACTTCATTGTTAACCCCCGAAGGCGCTACTAGTATACCGGTATGCATACCTTTCTGCAGTGTTAGGACCTGGATTGGTTTCAACGTCACCAGATCTCATCAAGAGGATCAGGAGCAGATAGAGAATGCAGAATCCATCCATGGTGTAAGATGTCCTTCTCATTCTACAGAAATATAGTACTCTGGAAAATGGTGATATGACATGGGTGACAAAACCTGAAAACAAAGTTTCAGAATTATATTCTATAAGGCTGCCAAGTGGTACAATAAATCAGTGTATTCAATATATTTAGCCCAGTCCTCGGATGACAGATCAATATTGTTTTTGTGTTGCTCTGTCATCTGGGAACTTCAACTGTAGATACGATATTGCTTGATTATCAAAAATCATTTACCAAGGTGGTTAGTCAAATTTTGTTATGTTGCTAGTCAGCCTGATATAGATAACAATAATAATATTGTATGGCTTTGTTTTTGTGTGATCCAAGAATATATTGCTCTCGCTATGACAATACATACTTGTATCACACTCAAAGCTGTCTACAGCATGTACATAAAACAGATGAAACAAAGATCCTTGAGAGTTTCAATTTTATTATATCTATATAAATAGCTTAACCCTATCTAGCCCGGGCTATTTTGAAACTGCATAGCCTGGGGGGGGGAGGCTTCTAAGCCCCCCCCCCCTATGATTGGCTGATTGCCACGAAAATGTGCATACGTGTCAAGTGAAGTGTATAGATTACTATGGTAATTTAATGTTTTTTGAAAAATTCACTCATTTGTATATTTATGGAAATTAATGTAAATAAGGTAATAAAATTCACATTTTTACCCATAAATCATATATTCTTCATATTTAAAGCCCCACTGTCCTACTTGTAGCTATTTGCTCCCTCTATATAGAAAACTTCCCCGATCGGTGCCTGTTGCATGGTCCCCCATGATCCTCTATTTCTTATGTTAATTGAGAGCTGAGTTGATGAGATAGCCACTTGTCAGTGTCCTCGCTGTGTGGTCTAATTCCCCCTAGCCACACTAGTGTTGATAAGCTTTAAACATTAGTTTCACTACATATATTATTTAGACCATTTGGGATAATAATACCAAAACAAAATTGGAAGAGCCAGGTTATTCCTTTTGTTATCTATTGATTTGATAAATTCTCATGTATTTCCTGTTTTTTTATGTATTTTATTGTTGTTGTTATTTAATTTTTAATAATAATAAATTTCATAAAAAAGTATAAAATGAAATTTTATTTAAAAAATGATACATTTTTAATGCAGGATATTATAATCACTCCAGCTAGAGTCAATGCTATATCTAATGCGCACTATAGCGCTGAATACTTGTTGAGAGGCAGGTATTAAACACAATACACATACTCTGCACACAATTGCACCCTAATGCAAACAATGAATACGAAATGGCTGATCGGCAAGTTTGACAGTAGACTCACAATTTTAATTTTCAAAATATTCTTTCTAACATCGGTAAGTTAATGAAAAGATTGTATTTTACTGCTATTTACTGTAGGTGTCATCAATTGTCACTGAAGAAGGTGCTAGATCTAGACAGTGTACTTTAATCGTATCCATTTTTTTTAGCAGTTTCATATCCATTCTTAGCAAAGGAATTTTAGCCCAACTTTTTACTAATTTTAATCATAATCGCATTTTCCACCTGGATTTGGATCACATCATACATCAGGAATCCTCCGTTTAGGGCTTTGATGTCGACGTCGTCGCTCAGGACCGTCTCTACGCTATATAGGTCTCCACCTCAAACTGTAGCTATCAGTCAAAAATTATGCAAACTTCTTGTATGCATGGTTTGGTATCCTGCATGCGCATAACAACGAGCTAAATATCTTCGTTCACACGCAGTGATATAACTTATACGCCAAATATTATCATTATTGTTTTGTTTTTGTTGTTGTTGATGATGGTGGTGGTGTTCAGGGGCGGCAATCCTGGGGGGTCGTGAGGTGGTGGGGTCGGGGGGGTGGTGACAAATCTCTATTTTTGTTCTCACTTTTTTGTAAATTATACTTTTTTTGCATTTGTTGGACATTGAAAAATTACCAATTTTACAGTCATGGCTGTCAGGCAAAAAAATGCTTATTTAGAAGCCTACATGTCAGGGCAGGCATGGATCCAGGGGGGCAGAGCAGGCCTTGCCCCCCCCCCCCCCCCTCCCTCCCCCCGGCAACAAAAAAGGAGACAGAGAGAGAGAAAAGGAAAAGAAGGAAGAGAGGAAAAGAAGGGAGAGAGGAAAAGAAGGGAGAGGGAAAGAAATAAAGGGAAGGAACAAAAGAGGAAGAAAAAAGAAAGGATGAAAAGAAGGGGAGATCAGTTGCAATTAATCCCGCCAACAACGTGTGGATCGGGGGGAGGCTGAAAGCCCCTTGCCTCCGCCCCCCCCCCCCCCTGCAAACCTAAAAGAGAGAGAAGGAATTAGGGAAGGGAAAGGGAAAGAGGAGAGAATGAGAAGGGGAAGGGGAAGGGAAAGAGGAATGAAAGGGAAAGAAGAAACTAGGTAGGGGAGATCAGTGACAATTTTTCCCGCCAACAATTAGGTGTAGATCGGAGGGGGGGGGGGGGGGGTGGCACCTGCATCATACTCGGTGAACTTTGTACAGTGGTTTTTGAAATGTTGAGAATCAACACAGCCAGGATAGTAATAGCTACAGGGAGCTACGACGCGGGAGACTCCCTGCCCTGGACTGGAGTAGCTGGCTGGCCCGAGTTTTGATCGACTATGGTTCCGTTTATCAACCAAATTTTTGGCTAGAATCAGGTTTCTCAAACGTCTTTCAGGCAAATTTAGAAGGTGATAAACGCAAAGCCTTTTTTAAAGAGCTTTAGATATGGGCATATCTAAACACGCAAACAGGTGTGTTTTGAATGTGACATACATGTACAGCCAGAATCACGTTTCTGAGAGATCGATAAACGCAAAGCTGTTTTGAACCTCACATACAAATAGGAATTCCCAGGCTAGATTCCGGTTCGGAGAAATAGAGCTGAGCAGCTCCCGGTGGGGTCACTCAATGTGACTTCCGGACCGCATGACCGTTACCAAAATCGCGGAAAAAGGGGTCAATTTCAAGCAATGTCCGCGGACAAAATATTCCTCGAAATATAGAAAATAGGGGTGCACAGGTGTCCTCGAAATTGATAAATATAGGGGTCAGGAAAAGGGAATCGAGAAAACCGGGAAAAAAAATTCTCGGAGCCGAGTCTTGTCCTTGAAATATGGGAAAATAGGGGTAAATTTGCGAAAGTGTCCTCACAATCTTATAAATAGGGGTATTCCAAGGTACGATTTTGTCCTTGTTTTGACGTAAAAAAGGGGGTTAAATATCACAAAATGTCCTTGAAATTGACCGCAATAGGGGGGTATTTGCATTTGTGGTAACGGTCATATGCGTCACCCTCTGCGGAGGAGTGACCCCACCGGGGAGCAGCTGTGAAGAAACAAGGCCTTTATTGTGAATCGTGAAGAGTCGATAAACGTGACATCCCGCAAATCACGATCGTATAGTGGGGTTCGATAGTGGGGTATGATAGTGGGGTAGGATATGTACATATCTAGTGGCAAGCCTCGATAAACGCGCCCTATATGTCATATGTGTTGCACATGTTGCTGGTGCATGGTGTGCATGCATCGCGATCTAGATCGAAATTTCTGTCTCTTTATAGTTCGTTAGAATCTCATTTGCAGGGTCGGCTCCCCAACCAGAGGCTATAACAAACGAAAGAGACATAAATTTTGGTCTACCGTAGTAGCTAGTGCATCATACAATTAAATTGACAAGTATTAAAACTACTAACTAGCTATAAGCCTAGAGCTACATCTAGTATAAAAAGGAACAAACTAGATCTAGAGCCTACTCTATAGTTTACCGGGTATCTGAAAATCTGAAATTGACTAACCTCGGTCTCGTTTCACTTTCAGTCTGATCATGTTTACAAACTAACAAAGGCAGCATTCCGTCGACAGACTTCAATGTACATCTACTGTAACTGAAGAAAGATCTTAAAATTTAGCAAGATCAATCACTGAATCGAACTCGAAAGCGAGGTGGCGTGGCTGTATGTGCACATTCGTCTCGCAGAAAATGGCGACTGTACAGTGTACAGCGAGCCTAGGGCTGGGCTACCACAAAGAAAAAAGAAACTGATGTGCGTGCGAAATGAAAGGGGAATCCCCGGCTGCGAGTTTGTGTTTCTCCGTGCGGGGTGCGAATTTTTTTTCCGTACTCGAGAGGGCAAATACCCCATGTGCGCATGCGCGTGGACTTGTGATTTCTCTGCTACTTCCCATACGAAATGTACATGTATTCGCATCTACTGTGCACGATTCGCGTTCTACGAGTAAACGATGGCATAGTAGTCTTCAAACACAGACTCTGATTTGCCAGTTTGACAAAACAATTACGCATATATCGTGCGTAGCAATAGTACTAGTATTCAAGTCTGAGTAGTTGTATGATTCAGACATTTTAGTGCTTACAGAAATGCATCCCAAATTGAATAGCATGGTATAGTAGTCTGCAAGCACAGACGCTAATCGGACAGTTTGACAACATAGTGTCTTGAGTAGTGCTTTATATTCAAATATGTGTAGTTTTATGATTCAGACCCTACTGGTGCGTGTATTGGAAAGGCATCTCAACTTGCAGAGTGGCATAGTAGTCTGCAAGCACAGACGCTAATCTGACAGTTTGACAAAATAGTGTTATTCAAGTCTGATATTATTCTGTCAAACTGTCAAAGGAGAGTCTGTGCTTGCATACTACTATGCCACTCTATAAGTTGAGGTGCATTTCCAATACACGCACCAGTAGGGTCTGAATCATAAAACTACTCAGACTTGAATAACACTATTTTGTCAAACTGTCAGATTAGCGTCTGTGCTTGCAGACTACTATGCCACTCTGCAAGTTGAGATGCCTTTCCAATACACGCACCAGTAGGGTCTGAATCATAAAACTACACATATTTGAATATAAAGCACTACTCAAGACACTATGTTGTCAAACTGTCCGATTAGCGTCTGTGCTTGCAGACTACTATACCATGCTATTCAATTTGGGATGCATTTCTGTAAGCACTAAAATGTCTGAATCATACAACTACTCAGACTTGAATACTAGTACTATTGCTACGCACGATATATGCGTAATTGTTTTGTCAAACTGGCAAATCAGAGTCTGTGTTTGAAGACTACTATGCCATCGTTTACTCGTAGAACGCGAATCGTGCACAGTAGATGCGAATACATGTACATTTCGTATGGGAAGTAGCAGAGAAATCACAAGTCCACGCGCATGCGCACATGGGGTATTTGCCCTCTCGAGTACGGAAAAAAAATTCGCGTGCGGGGTATAGGTACAGAGTGCATATATAGAGATTGATGGAGTGTTTTCTAGCAAGTACAGATGGAAAGAGGAACTTGGAGAGAGAGAGAGAGAGAGAGAGAGAGAGAGAGAGAGAGAGAGAGAGAGAGAGAGAGAGAGAGAGAGAGAGGGGGGAGAGGGGGAGAGAAGGGGGATAAGTATATGAAACTTAAATTTAGGTTATACACTTAGATTTTCGATAAGTTGGCTTGACATGGCTTGTCAGCTTGCAACCCTATTCTTCTTCGAAGTTGTCTGTTTATCTCAAATAAGGGCTATGCGGCCTTTCTTGAAGATCTGTGGGAAAGTTACCAGTTATTTTCTGTACATAAAATTCATTTTAAAAATGCTTTTTTTTTAAGGGTTGAAGATGACATTAATTAGAGAATGCTAAATATACCGACTGCTTATCTGCCTCTTTTTTTGTTTTTGTTTTCTCTCTCTCTATTGTCATCTCTTTAACCATCTTTCACTCTCTCCCTCTCTTTCTCTTTATATCTATCTTCTTGGTCTCTAATCATCTCTCTTACCCTCCCACCCTCTCCTTCTCTCTTTCCCCTCCATCTTTCTTTCCTCGCTACCCTCTCTCTTCCTCTCTCTATCTGTCTCTCTATCTCTCTCTCTCTCTCTTTCTCTCTCTCTCTCTCTCTCCCTCTCCTACCCTCTCCCCCTCTCTCGTACAACATACACATACCCTGCTTTTCAATCATTTCTGGCTCTTAGAATTCAGGACAAGGAGGAAAATACAAACTGTCAGATATGATATTCACATTTATATAAAACAAAGGGCCCTTCACATTTCAGTTTACAACATTTAAAAGCAAAAATGATCACTCTCAAATTTTAATTTTGTTTTGAAAAAACATGATAAACCTTTAAAATAAATATAAAAGCACAAACATTTTGGCAGTGCATATTATTCAAATATACCATAAAATCAGAGGCCCTATAGGTATTGTACATTCTCTGAGGTGATTGGAATAGTACAAGTACTATTTTCTGAGGGGTACACCCCCCCCCCCCCCCCCACCACCAAAATAGGGCGGGTTAGTATGCAAGAATATGAAATGACTATAACACCATTGTGTTCCTTGCTTTATATGAAGTACAGTCTACTCCATTGAAACTAAATAAATACACTTACAGAAATGCAACACCATTCAAAGTCCATCTACTCCGAATATTAGCAATGTTTGCACATATAAACTGCAGGAGTGTTTTTGTATATTTTTTTGATTATTTTTTTTTAACAACATAAAAAATAACATGCTTTACTTTTATGTATCGTATATAATACTCAAATACCGGTACTGAATATGTGTGGAGCTGCTGTTGCACCCAGCTACATCTATTTCATCCCGATTTGTCAAGCATTTACATGTACAGCTGTATACGTAAATACTTGTCAAGTGTGAACATGTCCATCTTATGTTTCATGCAACTGTGTCATTTTGATGTTCACACTCATCACCAATTTATCTAAAGTCAGTTCACATGTTTGCCCTGGTATATACCAGTGAACACTGTGTAAAGCACACATTTGTTTCAAAATGATTATCCACCGATATATAGCATGTGAATAGCACATTAACTTACGATAAGAAGTGCATTTAACTTTGGTCTTTTGAATTCGCTATCAACAGTGTTTCCTCACCAAATATGAGATAAAACCTACATGTACATGTTACATCATGCATATACTACAATGTTCACTATATCTAAACATTCTCATTTCGCGACTGCATTGGAAAATATGCCTAAAAATGACAGTCCAAGTTAGCATATGCTGTATATGGACGGATGCAGTATAAAAAGAATTGTGTTAAAAATGGAAGGCATTATACACGGACGGTATTACTGATGGCAAGACCTTCAAAATCTAAATTTGGAAAATGACAAACCTGAAAGACATTTTTCAAACTTTTGAAAATATCACGTATGTGTTTGACTTGCCCTCTTGACAAGGCATATATCATACCTGCAAACTTTTCACAGCAAAAATTAGGAATCTCTCAAAGCAAATTTAGGAATACAATCTATTTTGTATATTTTTTACACAGTAGTTTACAGAAAAGGAGAGAAATCTAGGGTTCATAGCATTAGTTTGACAGCTAAAAATAGGAATAATTCCTTTAAAACAAAGGACCATGACATTGACTTTGGGTCGACTGGTATTCTGTCCCCTCCACTTTTTAAGGAGTGCACAGAGTTATTTGATGTATTAAACATGATAAACTCATGACTAAATCTGTTATTGTCCCATGAATTTTTCACAAAAGTAAAATGAATACTTGAGTATGAAACAATAACTTTTTAATAAGTTTAGACATGATTAACACTAGACACCTTCCTGGTGCTCAGGAGACAATAACACATGTATGGCAGTGTTCATATGTGTAAAAATGTCATATCATTTCTTATATGTATATTTCATGAATACTGTGTCTATTACAACACCATAATGTTCCTAAACATACTCTTATTTGACTGTGAATCATTTGTTGTTAAGTGTTTATCATTAAGTACAAGGATGTTCCATCTAGAACCTGTATTCCTGTGCAAAAAAATACAAGCAAATGAATTCTCAAGCACAAAATTTACTAGACATGACAGCTTCAACTATAACAATATGTTTCTAAACAAATAGCATGTATTTATACGTAATCTGAAGACGCTTTTTTTTCTTATGAGCTTTGATCCATTTGGAAAACATTTGAGTTATGTTAACACTTCCTAAGTCGAATTTTGCATTATCCTTACTAATTGTGTGGTCCAAACAGATCCGACTCATTATATATAACCTACTTCACATACTTTAAGCCCCACTGTACTACTTGTAGCTACTTGCTCCCTCTATATAGAAAACAATGCCTAAGCGGTGCCTGTTGGTCCCCCATGATCCCCTTTTTCTTATGTTAGTTGAGAGCTGAGTTAATGAGATAGCCACCTGACAGTGAACTTGCAGTGTGGTCTAATCCCCCTGGCCAAACTAGTACAGGCGGGCTTTAAATGTAAAAATTAGACATATTTTCAATAAAATAAATTGGAAAATATAAAGAATTTGAATTTGATTACAATGTATTTGTTTGAATTTTGTATTAATAAATACACAGCAATATCTATTTGTGATTTGTCGTTCAAAATCTGATCATTATTCAATTTGATCAATTGCTTTTTGTCAAGAAGCTTAATCACCATACACACAGGAGTGCCTTTTTGATCAAATTTTGTGCTCAAGTTCTGGTCATTCTTTAGAAAGAAAAAAATAAATGCATCTAATTTTGTTTTTAAAATTCACGCAGCCACAACCCATGTACTTTGCACTATTCAGGAAACATCTTGTTGCATTACATCTCCCTCACATATGCAAAATTTGAATTCATGCTTAGTAAAATATAGAAATGTGTCTAATGCACAGGGATTTTTTTGATAAAATCCAAACTTTTCTAGACTTCTCATTATCATAATCTACATTAAAAACAGATAGGTAAATAAATTTACTTTTATCAGAACATTTTTGAACCTGCACAAGAACACCAAAGTACAAGAGCACTTTATTCAATAAATAAACTCTATAACAGACTAAGAAAACACCAAAACCAAAATCCCCACTCAATCACCTTTAAAGGCCCACTGTACTACTTGTAGCTACTTGTTCCCTCTACATAGAAAACAATGCCTAATCAGTGACCATTGGTCCCCCATGATCCTCTTTTGCTTATTTTAATTGAGAGCTGATTTGATGAGATAACCGACTGTCAGTGACCTTGCAGGGTGGTCTAATCCCTCCTGTAAACTAGTACAGACGGGCTTTAAAAGAAAATCCCAGATATTTAATGGGGTATCCATCACTGCAGGATTTATGGGGACTCAAATTTCAACGTTCTGTCTGTCTCCACTTCATACTCATCCATTTCAGCCATGTCTTCATCTAGGTGCCCCGTCATTTCTTCCAAGACGACGTCTATCGCCTGAAGATGAAAGAGACGATAAAAAATAACAGTAAAATTTATAAAGGTGCACATATTAAGCTGGTCAGCAATAGGGGTCCCCTTGCACCATCGTACTATAATTCAATAAACAAAACAGCAAAAAAAAAAAAAAGTTAGGGCAAATTTTATTACTTTTGTTTATGTTTATTATTTTTTTAATGAAAACTGCAAAGGGACCCCTATTTCTGACAAGACTATATCCTTAGGACTTTACCTTTAACGTCATTAGAACATGTGGGTACCCTCAATGCATTAATAAGCCATGTTTGGTTGCAATTGGAGTGCATCTCTAACCCAGGTTTGGTCATAAAAAGATTGATAGTTGCCAAGTTATTTGTCACAAGAGAGTCTTGCTGGTAAACTTTAACATATGACCTCAATTGACCTTTCACATTAGCATGTAACCCTAAAAAGTGGCGGACAGTTTTACTTACCAAATTTGTCGTGATCTTTTCATGGAACCTCTTGAGAGGAAGACAATGTTCCGTGTAGTCTCTTCTCTTTGCAACCTCCAACTGCTGGCCAAGTACTTGATCCAAAAGAAGAGCTTAACAACAAAATAGATATATTAAATCAATAATAAAAAGAATAATAATAACAATAATAGTTATAATTGTAATATGTCTTATTTACCCAGGGTAGCCTCATTATTATTAATACTGTTATTCCGAAGAGCCCTGCAATCATAGTATTACCAAGGACTTAGCTACTATGAAAGGGTGCTGAAGCATTCATTGAATTTCCCATTTACCTCACCTGGGAGGAGTTTGGCAAATGTAGATTACCATCTTCTTCCCAAAAGACATAAGTGCCACGGCAGGACTTGAACCGTGAACCTTGCGATCCACAGTCCACAAGTGCCACAGCAGGCCTTGAACCGTGAACCTTGCGATCCACAGACTACAACGACAGTTGGAGATTATTTCTTCTAGAAAAGTTATACAGACAGATTCATAGAAAGGATATTTTATGGACCTAGTAGTGGATTAGTCCTGTGACAAGTCATCAAAAATTTATATCTGAAATTGCTTAAAATATTTGAACTATTAGGTAGCGCATTGAAAGAGAATCTGATCCATGAAATTGTATCTAACTGAGTGTGTATTGTATTCAAAAGCTATGAGAGGGGAGGCGGGAGGTGCACTTATTACGTTAACTTCAATGGGGAGGGAGGGGTTAGTGGTATTTGTATTTTATATTGATATCTCAATCAGTTAGATGGATGTTTCGTCAGAGCCCTAAAGAAGGAAACAGACTTTGAAAATCATAAGAACAGGAGAAAAAGATTGAACAAAAAGACCCTGTTGAAATGAACTTTGGGAAAATCCATTACAGCATCTTCAAATTCACATATGGTAGGCAAAATGTTAACAAAAATAGTTACTTTTCCCTCAATATGTACAATAATGGCACTAGGAGGTATCTTTCACTTGTAAACAAACTTTAAGAAGCCTGTAATAATTAAAATTACCATTGCATATCAAAAGATCTAAAAATTCTTCATACTATAAAGATTCAACTTGTACTCACAATCCAAGTAAAGGTCCAAATACTCTTCATCGGTCCACACTTGCTGGTTGGGGAGGAGACGAGTTGCCAACATATTCTCAAAGATGGCTGCATCCAGCAAAAAGGTGTCAGCTAATGCCTTGATCTGGAAAAGGAATGGGACAAGTAAATATATATATCTTACCAACAATTGAAGTATTGGGATTGGGTTATTCATGCAGCATTTGCTTTTCTCCTTTATTCCTTTCTAATTACACCTGTCAAATTTTCTTTAGCCCTTCACATACTCTAGTCCCAGAAAAGCACAGCAACTTAACTCAAATTATATTTCCCCCCTCTTCTTCTTCTTCTCCTTCTTGCTTGGACAGGTACAACTAAGATTTTCAATCTTTAATGCTGGTTTTCACACTGTTCTCTATCTATTTTTGGCTCTACTCTGTATTTATATAATTTATATATAGTTAATGCTTTGTTTTGTAATATTTTGTTCGATTTGATATCACTGTATACATGTACTTGAATGATGTTCATGTTCAATCTGTTTTATCGAGTGAAAGAAGTAAATTTGAAATTTTGAAACGTGGATTACTGGAAAACAGTGATGTAGTTGAGGCCATAAGTTCAGAAAAACAAGGCAGATGTAAAATATTAATTTCTATTCTTTATGTACAGATTAGTAATCACAGGATAGGCAAAGGCCACTAAATTATGATTTCGACTACAATACTGCTGCAAAAGGTTGGGGATTGAATTTTTACAACTTATTTACTACATTGAATAATAATAATAATAATAATAGTGGGTTCTTGTATAGACGGAGAGTTAGAATATCAGCAATACACACGTTTGTGATTCTCATGAAACAGTGCAAGCGTTTTTCTTACATTATAAGTTTAGGACTGATTAGTCAATTTGTAAGAAGTTAATTTAGTTTGTTTTAAATGTCAATCTCACCTCACTTTGATCCTGTAGTCTCTGCGCCGGGCTGACTGGGAGTTTAGGTCTGCCGGTTGCAAAGGAATCCTCCACAAAACTGCTGGCAAGGGAGACTATCTCATCTTGGATGATACCTTCCACAAGCGACTCAATGCTCTCATCATATACAGCCTCAAGAATCTAAATGGGGTGCAGTGAAAAAGTAAGTAGTAGAAACAAATAGATGGGGTCCCATTCCATGCATTGTTATTGTACATGTACATTTATATTAATTAATTACCATAATTTCAGTGGTTTTTCTGCCTAAACTGAAATATTTATTGATATAAACATGTAATTGTTCATAAAATGTACATTAAGGGTACCACACACATTACAATTCAACTTCTAATTAGAGAAAATGCCAAGTCAGCTACCAGCCAGACATGTGACTGGCATGATGTCCCTACAATTCATCGCTAATCAGGCATTCTCTCTGACTTAATAACTCACAACACCCAGCAATTTTGATATACAGTGCAAATAACAATTTAGCTGTTCTTCCTAAGTACTCTTATTATCATGGCAGTTGCCTTTTACACCTAGGTGGAGAGTGGCAAATGTGCAAATGTGGATTAATGTCTTGCCAAAGAGCTTGGCAATGGGCTGGGATTTGAACCCTCATCTCTTGAATTGAGAGTCAAGTGAATGAACCACTATGCCACGACACCTCCACCTACACCTCCAATTCATACATAGAAATATGCTTATTACGTGCTTACTACGTGCTTACTACGTGCTTACTACAAGCTTACTATATGCTTACTACGTGCTTACAACATGCTTACTACATACTTTACTACGTGATTACTACGTGCTTACTACATGCTTACTACGTGCTTACTAAATGCTTACTACGTGCTTACTACACGCTTACTACGTGCTTACTATATGCTTACTTCATACTTTACTACATGTTTACTACATGCTTACTATGTCTGGCAGGAGGCTTGCAATGACCTCATCACACATAACGTTGAAGTCCACCACTACATCTTTCTGGACGAAGTATTCTGTGACGAGCTCTGAGATGGCTTCAGGTACGACGGACGCTACCTCATCGTCGATCACCTCCCTCAGGAGGTCTCTTGCGATGGGTTTGTAGATGGAGGGGGTTTCTAAGACCATGCTCCAGAATCTAAGGTGAAGGAGGAAAAGTATAACATTGAAGGTAAATTTGAGGGCTCTCTTACATAGAGGGTTGCATTGTACAGGAGTGTCGTGGTCGAGTGGTTTAAGGCGCTTGACTGGAGATGCGAAGGTCGAGGGGTCGAATCCAGTCACAGCACTAATATCCTTTGGTAAGATATTTACCTGCACTTGCTACTCTCCACCCAGGTGTTAAATGGGTACCCGGTAGGATGCGAAAGTTCATGTGGTTGGACGAGCAAGTGTGCACTTTTAAAATGGCACCTGGCTGGAATGCTCCCCATGCAGGGAGTGGAAAAATGTGCACACATTGTGTGTGGGTAAGCCTGAATCCAATGGCCGGGGTAATAATATATCTGTAAAGCGATTAGGTACATCGTTGGATCGATGTATTGAGCACTATATAAACATGGAATACTATTATTATTATTATTAGAACTTTAAACACAGAAAACAAATCGTTAAACTCGATTTTCAACCAATAAATATAACATGATAATCAGGACTTGCATGTGACTTTTCTTAGGTGCAATGTTCACTCAAGACAGCTTTTAGTGACCCTACACTCTTCTGTCTCTATCTCTCTCTCTGCTTTCCATCTTGAGTAGACTGCTTCACACCACCCTATCTAACTCCACCAGAGTTTGCAATAAGATTCTCCAGGAATTTGTTTTGTATGAAGGCTTTGTGATGGAAAAAACAGTATATTATTTTCTCAGAATCTTGAGGCAGCTTTGTGTTCTGGAAAGAATTACAGCTTTTGTTTGTGTTTTTTGGAGGGGGGGGGGGAGGGGGGTATTTCATGTTCTTTTGATCCTTTTCGTTTCAAGTGAAACATCACATCATTGTTTTGTTTTGGGGGCTCAGTGATGCCACTGTTGACATCAGAAAGGATGCATTGTGGTAATCGATGTAACATTACGACAAGTCACTCCAAGAATTGAAATGACTACAAATGAAATTGCTAAAACCAAATAAACATTCAACTAAAACTGCGGCCAATATTTGACTAAACAAATGTATTTTATTTAAATACTTTTTATTCCTCCATGTACACAAACAGAAGTACATTAGTGAAAGAGAATTACAGTCAAACCTGTCTACAGCGACCGCCCAAGGGAAACACAAAAAATGGTCTTTGTAGACAGGTTCCTTTAGTACATGTTTCAATGAGAAACCATTTTCAATGGAAACAAAAAATGTCGCCTTGTAGACAGGTGGTCTTTGTAGAGAGGTGGTCACTAAAGCAAGTTTGACTGAATTACCAAAGAGATTTCCTGACAGGCTGGACACACTCACCCCTTGATAGATGCTCTGAGTTCAACGAAGGCCATATCTCGAAGGTTCTCATGAACAACTTCTTCAAGAATCTCTCTTCCCATGTCCAGGACTGGCCAGGAAAGCTGACGTTCAAGATCCTGGGGAGAGACAGAATTTATTTATTATTTTACTGTGGTACCAGCTACCTACTGCTGTGCAGACGGCCTCATCCATTGACCAGTTCAAGAAATTACTCAAGTCACGTCAATTCTGCTAGAAATTACTTTATTACCATCCTACATATACCATACTTTACTGATCTCTGAGAAGTGACTAACTTTTGTTTATAAGTGGCCCAAACATTGTGGGGCAGTGTGTGCAGCGCTTTGTGACCGCAAGATTGGATTGGATTTTTCTAATCATTATTATTGTTCTATTGATTTATTTCCTTGATTGGGATGCCGCTTTTTTCTAGAAAATCTTCGAAGAATCTCTCTTCTAATGTGTAGGACAGGCCAGCATAGCCAACCTTTGAGATCCTGAGGAGCTTATTTTATTATTGTCGTCATTTTCATCATTACTATTATCAAGTGATTTCCTTTTATGAGATGTATGACTTCTTAAAAAATCCTCCTCCTTGATTTTCCTAATACAGGCCTGGAAATTTGGCAGTTAAGATCTTAGTGAGTGATAGAAATGATTTGTTTATAATTATTCTATTTTATCAATATTTCATTTAGTTTCCACATGAGGGATGGATGACTTTCACATATATGGGATGGATGTGTGATGCAAATATTTTGTATTATTATTCTCATCACCATAATTGTTTCTATCAATTTATTTCCACACGTTGGATAGACGACTTCTTCAAAAATTTCTCTTGGAATACTTAAGAGAGGCTAACAAAAATGGTGTATTTTCTCACCCATTGCATCCCTAACCTCCTCCCTGTCACAGAAGGGGTTAAAGGTAAAGGCCTGTTTTGGAAACGCCCCCCTCTTAAAAAGTGAAATGGAAGCTCTCAATATCACTAATCATCTGAAAGAATATGTTTTGACTAACACGTGAAGATACAAATTTTGCCTGGAAACTGCCTACTAATTGATATATTTGGTAAATTATTACATCTATCTGGACTGGATAGATATCGTGTAGTCCCATATACATATTTCTGTGTACAGTGCTTGTAACTTTACCAAGACTGGGCCAAATTTCTTATCGTTTTGATGATTCCAGAACCTTGCAGTACACACCAATACTTATATGCTACATGATCAACCTTTTCTGATTAATTCCACAACGTTTCTTTCACAATGCAATCGCATGACCAGAACTTGCCTATACCTTTAAAATGTGTGAGAAATAAAAAATAAAAAAATTCACCCTTTCTTCCCTGACGTTCGACATGACATCGACAGCAACTTCAAGTACCATGTCATCTTGGAGACAGCTCGTTAGGAAGTACTCTAAGAATGTCCGGGCAAACAGCTCATCATGCATGCGTAATACAGCACTGGACTCCTAAATATTGTATGAGACATGACATTGAATTAAAGTTACAATGTTACACATTAAAAACACTCAGTAGTCAGCTCTCATGGGGAATTCAACACCATTCGGGTGTTTACCCAATAACAGATGTTGTCAATCACCAGGGTTAGCCTGACCATTCGACCTTATGTAATGCTTTGCTTTTCCCCTCACCCGATCCGAAGCGGGATCCGAAGCTAGACTCTCCGAGAGATAAGGGGGTAATTCTTGACTGGCCAACGGGTTTGTACTCCCATTAATGTTTTTTCCACCAAGTCTGGTGTCAGCGAATTATGCCCTTCTGCACATGGAAACTGACGAGTGACTCACTTCAATGTAGGATCCCCGCTAATTGGCAAAATGACAAGAAATTCAATGAGGGGTAGAATGATATTGTTAATTACTCTCAAAAAGGGAGAGGACCATTGTTCATCATTTAATTGATTAGGTTCGTGGGATCAGAGATGGCTACAGGCTGATCAAGCCCCAAGTTTTCTTGGGCAGGAATGGAAAGACCAGTACAGTGCCAGGGGCAGGGCTTGACACTAACAAACGCCCGGGACCCATGGATGCCCAAGATCTACAATTTTAATGTACGACTCATGTAAAGGAGACACTAAAAAGTTCAGTCTGAACCCCCTTCCCAAAAAAGGGCTTTGGGTTGGGTTTTTGTTGCTTGCCCCTCTAAGTTATGCAGCTCCCCCCTTCATCTCAAATGGAATAGCCCAATCAGCACAGAAGCATTTTCCGACAACCTTGACCACTTCAAAGCTTCACTAAAAACTCACATCTTCCTTCAGACATTTAAATGCTAACTTTATTGGAGGAGCTCGCACCTTTGAATGTTTTTTTAAACAGATATATGGCGCCATACAAATGCTGTGAATCATCATCAAGCCAGCATACAGAGAGGTGCCAGCTTGCATGCCTGCTTGGCGGCCTTCATTCTGCCATCCCCAAATGCTATTTTTTTCTTTTCCACTACCCTAATGAATCTTATATGTAGACTTATTTGAAAATGGCCCCCTCACCCACAGGCATTTAATCTAAAACTATCCCTTATTAAGGTGAGAGTAAGACATTCCTTACCTGTCTTTGTGTTGGAACCCTTGGCAGTTCTATTGGGCCAAGGACATCATCATACTCCACCAGTCTAGGTCCCTCACCCCTGCTCCAGCTATCAGGATACCGGTCCCTCCTCCGTGCATCCACCGTCTCGAGATGATTAGCATAGATGAGCTCTTCTGCATCATCTTCAAAACCTCTACTACCCTGCCTCACATAGTACTTCTTCCCTCTCCTCCCGTCCCTCATTTCTCTCCTCTCTGTCCCTGCCCGCCTGCCAGTGTACTGATCCCAGGCTGGCACCTCTCTGTATGCTGGCTCTGGTGCTGAGTGGGCTGTTCCATTTGAGATGTAGGGGGGAGCTGCATAACTTTGAGGGGCAAGGGGTGGCTCTGGAGTTGTTTCTGAGTTGTGACTTTTTAAACTGAGTCTATCGTCCGACTGCGGTCTACAAAAAGAGAAAGCATTCATCAGCACTGAAAATTCAATCAACAAACAACAATGAATACCAATGCAACCTGCAGTAACTCTAAATTATCTTATAACATAAATGCTAATGCCAGAACTAATAAAACAGTTTGTCTGGAGGTAAACTGGAGGTAAACTGGCTCTCCTTGTACAATGCTCTGGTAACCGATAGTTCCTACAGTAAGCTCTTTCCTTGCTATATCTAACAGGCCATAATATCTCAACTGGATCTCTTAACAGCTTCACTGTCTGAAGATGCACCAAAAGTCTACTGTTTCAAGGCACTGTTTATTCCATTTGACAACCAAAGCTGGTAAAGACTTAATGTGATAGCGCATTGAACTAACAGGCTACCACATCAATTTACCCTACCGCCAGTACAATGTTCAACTGTAGATGGCAACCTTCCTGCAGGTCAGCACATGAGCAGATACGATACTGGAGAAGACGATAAGACAAGGTTTCTTCCGGCTTCCATTGAAAATGTAAAGCAGTGTCAACTAATTCGTCATTTTGCTAAACTATCGTTCAGGCTTCATGAACTCCCCTGAAGATTTGATGAGATCTAGGCTGGCACCATCATAATTTGTAACTTATCAAACTTCCCAGTTCTCGACCTATATTGTATTTGTATGGGAACCGGAAGTGCCTTTGCAAAATAAACCCACGGCCGGGGTGCTGCCCTCATTGGCCAATACTGTAGTTGTGGAAGCAAAAATTGCCTTCTAGCATACCTGTGGGATGGGAGACCTTGGACAGGAGGAACCCTGGAGTAATGGCTCCCCCTGAGTTCAGGCGATGTGAGGCGGAGGCTCTCTGTCTGTGAGGGGCTGTCAATCCTATGAAGCAATACATTTATAAAACATAAGAAATTAAGCGAGACAGAAATATAATTGGCACAAGGTAATAGAGAAAGTGCCAAACAGCCCAATAGGAAGGTAGGTTAAGTGCTTTAATCTCATTGAAGGTTAATTTTAAATCATTTTCATCGATATACTTTTGAAGTTTCCAAGCAAAAGGCATACATGTAAGATCTATACACCCAAACAGCTTGATATACGGTAGTAGCCTCCTCCTCCTCCTTTTTCTTTGTTTTTTTCTTCTTTTTTTTTCCTTCTTCTTATCCTTCTTTTTTATTCTCCTCCTTTCCTTCTTCTTCACCTCATTTTTCTGCTTCTTCCTCTTGTTTCCTTTTCTTTGTCTTCAATCTACTTTTTCATTGTTTATAAAAATTATAAATATTATCATCATTGTCATCAACATCATCATCATCATCATCATCATCATCATCATCATCATCATCATCATCATCATCATCACATCTTGATCATCATCACCATCATTGATCATCATCATCTTCCATGTTCAATACCTTGGTAAAGGGTTTGGAGGAACAGACCTCCGCCTGCTTGGCGCTGTTCCATCGTCTAACCCAGCCCCAAGAGGAAGCTCCTTTCTTTCACGGCTCTTTCGCAATCTAAACAATGAAACAACAACAACATTATTTCTTTATTTCAAGTCCAGCAATACAATAATGGATCTGGGTTAACTTAATATGCATTAGCAACTCAGATGCGGCGGAAAATCATTGCCAAATTATCTTAGAGCCTAATCAATCGTAACAAGGTGAAGTTTAGCATTGTTTTTCAGAATACCCACATAAAATATAGGATTAGGAGTGTGTAAAATAGACCTAGGCTAGAGGTCTAGTTCCAAAAAGGAAATGTTGGAAAATTCTAATCCAGTCTATACTTACTATTCAACTTTTTTCAAGATTTAATATTCAATTGTCTCTCGTATACTTTTTTTAGTTTTCATTTTTAAGGGGACAATGCAATAAGCCCAGGAAAAAAATGTTTAAAAAATTGCGGGGCTACTTTTTAAGCTTGCTTGCATGAAAATAATACTCTTTAATTTGTTTTGCACTGAACTCTATGCAAATTTTGGGGGGCTCTTTTTTGGCATTTCAGAGGCGAATTCATCCGAGCCCCTGTGTATTTTCCCCGTCATTTCGGTATAAAATAAAAGGAATGTATAACATAAAAGGAAAAGTAAAAGGAATAAAAAGTGTGGCTCTCTTGTTTAAATTGTCTGTCATTTTTTTGCATCAAACAATCAATCTTATTCTATTAGACGCTTCTCCACATTTTTCAAAGTCTTCAAAACATTCTAATTACAGTTCATGAATTTATTCTTGTTGATGATGAACTTGCTTGTTATTACTGTTCATGAATGAAGATCTATTGTTTTCATGTCAGTGGAAAAATAAATCTTGAATCTTGAAACTACTAGACTAGACCTAGACTCTATGGCACTATTATTATTATAATCCAAAAAAAACAAAAGACATATTAAAAGTAAACTTGCCAATTAACTGATTAAAGGTTACACTTCTAGATATTGGTCTATTTTAATAAATCAAACAAACAGAGCCCTTCTCAACCTCGTGCATATTGATAGGCACATTCATGGGGCACTAGAGGGCGCTTCGCTCGCGTACGAAAATCTGAATGGCCTTGCTGCGATGGGTCGGCAATAATCAGCCCAAAACTTGGATATGGGAGGTTGGAAGGATATATCTTTTTTATAATGTTATCCGGTCTTACCCTTAACCATCCTATGTTTAATCTATGTAGAAATAACATGCGAGTGTGATAAGAGAAACATCGGGCCCATTACTGAAGTAACTTTTTAAATATTAGCCTAGAAATGACCACCAAACGGAAAAAATTGACATTTTTTCCCAACAAATCTTCATAAAATCTGAGTTATAAACAAGTCACATCTAGGTACACTAATACAAATACGATTTTCTGAAAATTCAGGTATGATTTATTAAGTTTCTTTCAAGTATATTTCTGCGCATTGCAGCGCCAATATTCTACACTGCTTCAAAATCACACTTGAATTTTTTTTTTGCAACGAATTTGATACGAGGTCCGCGAGTGTTCCCCGTTCCTTGCGTGTTGAAAGTTTGGTAATACATAGTTTGCATTGACTCGCGCACGAAAAAATGGTCGAAAACAAAATGTCAAATGAAGAAATAAACAAGCTTTTGTATAGTTATAAGAGTTCTACCGAGGTTTCTTTGTCGATTCAATTGATTATATAGTCTCAATTAGAATTCAGAATTATCTCACTGAAAAGTTAAGAAACCGACGATGTTCTCGATCTTAGTTATTTTCATTTTGCCAGCAGCCGATCTAGTGTTGATTGGGCAAAAAGCTAGGCCGCTGCCTTCCCACGCGAACCCTTCCGAGTCCCGCTAAAATGGCGCTCAGCGGAGCTCTGAAGCTGCGTTGGTATCGCTGCAAACTCTCAGCCGGCTAGCTCCCCATGAAGGACCATTCGCGGTATGGCGAGAGTGTGTGTGTGAAGTATGATTTTGGATTCGAGAACGCACGTAATGCAACCGTGCGCGTCATTTTCAGCTGTCGAATGTATACGACCAATTTTACATGTACGATTTTTAGTACAGATACTTGGTCAGTTTTCTTCTTATATCTTTGGTTTTACAACATTGATTTAAAAATATAATTTCTTCAAATTTGCTCCTGACTCGGTTCAGACTAATTGTCTGATGTGTTTTCAAGTCAATTTTTTTAATATATTTTTTTGCATGAATTTGCCTAATATTGATTCAGCGATTTTGAGCGATCGGCGCTCGATAGCATGAATATTCATATTTTCTTCGCCACTGCCGCGCATGCGTACCTTCTCATCGCTATTTTGAATCAACGCTGCGACATGGAAGAATCAACGCTGCGACATGAAAGAATCGTTGGTGTAGTAGATCTACCCCGAATTAACCTTTTTTTCCCATCGAAGACTTCTTCAAATTATACATTCAAGTGATTGGAGTTGAGCCCTGAGGAGTCATGCACCTATGAGTATGATGTAAGAATTGTAATTACTCCCTTTGCAGATTTAACGATAATATCACCCAATCGGCTGTTTTACTAGCCCACACGAGAAACCAACGAAACCAACCGAAGCTCCGACGCCTGCGGCGCCGGTGTTGGAGCTTCCCGGAGTTATATGCTTTGCTGGAGTGGTACATCACGTTTACAAGCAATGCCTGAATGAGCAGCACACATATTTTTCAATACGTGGGGCAACGAAGAGCAAGTAGACACTCACCTTTCTTGAAGTTGTGACCAAGTCTGCTCTTTGGGGGACGATAATCTAGACATCAGTAGCCCGTCATGAATCGTGATATTTATCTTAAAACAACACTAATATTTCAGGGGGAAACAGTTTTCGTGAGCTCTCAGTCAGTCAAGTGTTGTCATGGTAAACAAACCTAAGAAAAGTGTCAGCAGCTGGTCGACCTTCGGCGTTCTTTTCTTTATCACAAGCGGGCGCTCAGCAGCTAGTACGTACGGTACGCGCGTTTCCGTTTTACACCCTGCCCTAGGCTTTTCGGCAAGAAATTACACGAAACATGCTGTATCCGAAGTCTAAGTTTGTTTATATCGACGTCAAGAATATAGCGGTGAAGACGGTTTTCCCGATATATTATTGTTTTGTTATCGCTGGGCTAAATTTTGCGAGCTGATCACGCATCCTCACGCTCTTAGAGTATTGCGTATTAATGGATAAAAATAAATGATACGACTAGGAAGATCAACTAGTATAGAGAGTTAGCTAGCGCTACGTGACGTTTTCAGAGTTCTGGTGGTGTGCAGAGCGTCGAGTCGACGTACGGAGACTCGGTCGCTCACATCCTCGCGCGCCGAGGCAAGATGTGGACGACTAGACTCCGAATACCAGTCGGTTTGTAAAATTTTATTGGAGAAAAGCCTAGGGCAGGGTGTAAAACGGAAACGCGCGTACGCGTACGGTACGTAGGTACTACTACTGCGGCACTGGTGTAGCCTCTTGTCGATGCCCTCGCGCTGTTAAATGCTGACGAGCGAAGCGAGTCAGAGAAACCGAGGCGCTTGAGACTCCAACAGCGCGAGGGCGAGTCAGAGAAACCGAGGCGCTTGAGACTCCAACAGCGCGAGGGCATCGACAAGAGGCTAGCACTGGTGTTGATCTGACTGGATTGAAAAAGCGACATCGACATTATAGGCTTCTAAAGTTCTAATGATAGTGAGATTTGTTTTAATTTTTTTTTTAAATAGGGTCTACACTAGATATAAGGGGGGGGGGGGGGGGGGGCTAAGTCACCTCGCCTATATAGGTGGACGAAATACGACAGAGACCAAGTTCCAACATGAGAATGAAAAATTTAACAGGGTCAGTTTGATCCTTAACGAAGATAAAATACAGACTTTAAAAGAAAAGAAAGAAAAAAGGATGATTTCCGAGCGAAGATTAAATCTAGCCACTTCATGATTAAAATAGTCCCTGCATGGGTGCGGCCCTCTCTGCACCAATAATAGCATAGAAACCCTTAGTTCAGGCTAACACCGTTTGTCACATAATAATAATAATAATAACCTTTTTGTCCACTCCAAATTTTATTAAACCGAAACAAAAATTCGTTTTGCCCAATTGATCGTGAGCAGCGCCAGATCGACGTTGCTCTATCCCTTAGTAGGGACTTTTAGATTTGCACGTCGACAGCTTTGACTACAACGTGTGACGTCATTTTAAGGCACTGCGCATGCGTCACGTCGTCTCAGTCGCCGATCGAGAATGCGTCAAGCTTGATTTTCCTAAATCTAGTACGGTACTAGTATATATGCCGCGTGCGCATAAAATATACAGTTCCTCAGGTAGACAAAGGAACATCCCTTCAGGCGCGGATCCAGGGGGGGGGGCGAGCGGGCCTTGGCCCCCCCCCCCCCCCCCCGCAAAAAAAAAAAAAAAGAAAAAGAAAGAGAGGAAAAGAAGGGAAAGGGAAAAAGGAGAAAAAGGGAAAGAAAGAAGAGGAAGAAGAAAAGAAAAGGGGGAAGAAGGAGATCGGGGGCCGAAAGGGCCTTGCCTCCCAGGCTGTTTACCCCCCCCCCCCCCCATCAAAAAAAAATAATAGAGAAGGAAGGAAAGGGAAAGAAAAAAGGAAAAGAGGAGATACTGGCGTACTGATAGAGGGGGGGGGGGGCTTGGGGGAAATCAAATTCAAACGTCGTTTATTTCTAGTTCCACAACGGTGGATTACAAATAATGCTGAAATGACATAATTTCCGAAATTTTTCCTCACTTTTTAGTAAATTATACGTTTGTATGTGTTTGTTGAAAAATGACAAATTCCTAAATTTACAACTAGGCAAAAAATATGATTCTTGAGATTCGTACATGTCAGGGCCCGAGGTACGGCGGGGATCGAGAGCCTCGAGCTCCCCCACTTTTCTTGACAAAGTATATCAAAGAGAAATAAAATAGAATGAGAGCAAGAAAGTGAGAATAGTTAACTGCCAGTGTTAACAAAATAATGAGGCATCAAAATGTGCTCATCTGACCGTGATTAAATGCCTAAAACCCTTAAGCTTCCGGGGGCTTTGCCCCCTGGATTCCATCTAGGGCCCTACTGCGGGCCCTTATATGATCATCTGACGGTAATTTGATGCCTAAAACCCCTGATTTTTTGGGGCTCCGCCCCCTGTACCCCACGCCAAATAGTGACTTGCCAGTGTCACAAAATAATAAGGTATTCATAAAAATGTGCTCATCTGACCTTTATTAAACGCCTAAAACCCCTGAGCTTCCGGGACCGGCTCCGCCGCCTCGACCCCACCAGGGGCCCTAAGGCGGGCCCCTGAATGCTTATCTGATCGTAATGTATTGCCTTAAACCCCTGAGCTTCCGGGGTCGGACAAGGTATCAAGATGTGTTTATCTGACCGCAGGCGCGTAGCCGGGGGGGGGGGGGGGGGGGGGGGGTCCCCCTCCAATCGGAAGAGGACGTAGGAAGAAAAAGGAGCAGACAAAGAACATCTTTGAAATTCAGACAAGGATTAAGAGTATAGAGAACGGTACAACGCATCGTTTTCTTTCTCTAGTAATAAAACGTCAAAGCCTCGCGCAGGAGGGGTGGGGGGGGGGGGGACTGAATTCAGACGAGGATTCAGAGGCGAGAACGGTAATACGAATCTTTAATGATTTAATGAAACGTAATAGCTTCTGCGCTTCGCGCGGGATGGAGGGGGAACTAAATTCCGATGAGCTTTATTTTCGAGAACGGTACAATGAATCGTCTTCTTCTCTAACGATTAAATGAAGATTAAAAGATTCGGCACTTTGCGCGGGAGAGGGAAATCTGTATTCAGACGAGGATTAAGAGTCAAGAACTGTACAACGAATCGTCTTCTTTCTCTAATGATTTAATGAAACGTAGAAGCTTCCACGCTTCGCGCAGGAGGGGGAAGGGGATGGGGACTAATTTTAGACAAGGATTAAGAGTCGAGAACTGTACAACGAATCGTTTTCTTTCTCTAATGATTTAATGAAACGTAAAAGCTTCCGCCCTTCGCGCGGGAGGGGGGGGCTGAAATCAGACGAGGATAAAGGGTCGAGAACGGTACAACAAATCGTCTTCTTTCTCTAATGATTTAATGCAACGTAGAAGCTTCCGCGCTTCGCGCAGGAGGGGGAGGGGGGGGGGGGGGGACTGAATTTAGACGAAGATTAAGAGTCGAGAACTGTACAACGAATTGTTTTCTTTCTCTAATGATTTAATGAAACGTAAAAGCTTCCGCCCTTCGCGCGGGAGGGGGGAAACTGAAATCAGACGAGGATAAAGGGTCGAGAACGGTACAACGAATCGTCTTCTTTCTTTAAAAGTTTAATAAAACGTCAAAGCTTCCGCGCTTCGCACAGGAGGGGAGGGGGGGGACTGAATTTAGACAAGGATTAAGAGTCGAGAACTCTACAACGATCGTCTTCTATCTATAATAATTTAATAAATCGTAAAATTTTCCGCGCTTCGCGTGGGAGGGAAAAAACTAAATTCAGACGAGAATTATTTTCGAGAACGGTACAACGAATCGTCTTCTTTCTCTAATAATATAATGAAACTTCAAAGCCTGGGAGGGGAAACTCGCCCCCCTTGCACCGACCCCCCCCCCCCCCCCCCGCATTACGCCACTGTTGGTCGCCATTACGTACCAATATTTGGCTCGCATAATTTCAAATTTGGGCCCCCCCCCCCTAAGAAATCCTGGATCCGCGCCTGCATCCCTTCCCTGCTATTATGTAAAAATGTGTAGAACAGGTGTCACATGCATATTCACCTGTTCTACACATTTTTACATAATAGCAGCGAAGGGATATTCTACCACAGCAATAGGCCATCTTCGTAATGTAACCAAATTTAATGCATAAAGTCTTTGTGAAGTGCCTCAATACAAATTATTTCATTCACCTGGTAAGAATAATAGTATTTCAATAGACATAATCCAAACTGCATACATTAGTAGTTGCCAGGTTGGACAAACATTATGGCTTGACCTACCTAGCAACACTTGATATATGCAGTTTGCATTCTGACTATTGAATAGTCAGAATGCAAACTGCATTACTATTATTCTTATCAGGTGAATGAAATAATTTGTATTGAGGCACTACACAAAGACTTGTGCATTAAATTTGGTTACATTACGAAAATGGTCTATTGTCCGTCATGTTCATAAATCATAGTGTTACTTCTTGCATGCATGTATATCGTCTAGTGCAATCTAACATGTAGTAATGTAACATGTTCTAATTGTAGTCAATATGGGCAGTTGAGTACGTTGACAGTGACACGTATGATCAGTCGGCGTTCGTCGTGTTCTCGTCCACTCAACCTAAAAGTCCCTAGTTTAAGATGCGGTGGCATATAGGGTCTTTTCAGGTCTGATTCAGTTTTATCTCTGTGTTTCAAACCCGGGCATAATAAGGGTTAGGGCATACAAGTAAAACTAATTATGATTTCACATGATTAATGTTAAGAAGTTTAAAACCATTCTCTACGTAGAATTCTCAGACAACTTGTTTTCATACTTTGGACATGATTAAGTCTAGTGTTATGAATTTATAATTTTTTAATTTTATGAAATAAATGCCGTATATCTACGTGCTACAGTAGCTCGGCAGGCTATATCCATCCCAACATATCGTATTTTTTGATATTTTGTCAGAGTGACATCTGGATATGTGATGGTTGCTAAAGGTGCTATTACCGGAGTGTTGGCTCAGTCACTTAGAGCATCCGCCTCACAACCGGGAGGTCGTGGGTTCGATCCCAGGCCGCGTCATACTGGCTACGTTAAAAAATGGGAGTTGTCTTGTTTGGCGTTCAACTATAGGGACTTTTAGATTGAGTGGACGAGAACACGACGAACGCCGACTGACCATGCGTGTCAACGTACTTAACTGCCCATGTTGACTACATGCATGCAGGAAGTAACACTTTGAACATCACGGACAAAGAAAGAGG